AAAAAAATTCTCTTTGAGATTGAAATAAAACAGCTAGTTTTGTTTAGGTGTGGGAAATCAGAGCAGCAGATCTTTCCATCTCTCCAGTCCATAAAGCGGCGGTCGGCCTGGTGAGTGTAACAACGTAATAAAGCTTCACTCCAGGAATTCCTTCAAAAGCAACCCCTCTCCCCCCCCCGCACAGTTTCGAAACTCCCGGACCGGTTTGTTCAAAGCCCGATTAAGCTAACCCAGGATTAGCGGAATTTCGATTTCAATTTTTGTGACGATGGTGCGTCAGGACTCGAAAAAACCTTGATTTCTAGCTTTCCCTTGGGACAAGTAGCTCTAAAATTTTGCTTGTCCAGGGCAAGGCTTAGTTTGCTCTTTTAATGATTTAGTTGGCAGATGACTTGCCTGATCCCTTGCCTATCGGGCAGGTGAGGGTGAAAAGTGGTATTGTCCTGGACTACCGGTCGACACTTTTTTCGAGCCCTAGGTTTTCTGTTTTTATTGTTTATCATTCAGTTTTTAATTTGAGTAATCTCAGGCAACACAAAACATAAGCAGTGAAAAACATTTCTATGCAAATCAAATTAATACTTTGGTTAACTTTTAATCCGGGCTTAGCGTTAACCGGCTTTCGAACATCCCAGCCCAGACTGGTGTCTTTTCATTAACGATGATGCGTCAGAAGTTCAAATCAGGTTTGTTTTTTTCTCATTCAGGAACTCTCTGATAACAGAAAATTGTGATGGCTCATCAATGCCTCATGCGGGTTTAAGTTACAAGAGGCGGCCAAGAGTGTTTACTGCTTAAGTAGCTACAGCCCTTGAAAGTGAACTTGTTCTCTTTTGTTTTCGGCATTTTTAGGTTGATCCCGTCAAGGGGATTTCGCTGCGATTTCCTCGCTTTTTAAGAACCCGCGACGACAAGAAACCAGAACAAGCCACAGACAGCTCACAAGTGAGAAAGTTGTTTTTATGTTAACCTGTGTTTGCAGCACTATACTCCTAACACTATCTCCATCTCGCTCTTGTAAACCGCCCGGAACGGTGCGTATTTGAAATGGACCGTTTTCTCACAGAAAAAACAAACTACTGTTAAGTGACAACTTGGTATCAGAGAAGGTTTGAGTCATTAATAAAATGGAGGATTGGAATAACTGGTGTTAAATTGGTGTTCTCTTTTGTTCATTTTTCAGGTTGCCGAAATGTACAGAAGTCAAGAAACCGTGAAAAATAACACGAACCCTCCAGCAGCAACAGACGCCTCTGATGACTTCTACTGAGGCGGCGGCAAAGGCTCTGGTGGCGGGAAAAATTGACGCGTGGCATACTATTTCCCGCCCGCGCCAAAACCTTGCCAGTGGACAGCACATCGACTCTGTT